TCAGTATCGTACGGTCTTTAAGTATTATACAAAGCATGCTGCGTAAATAATATGGCATATGCGATAAGAGGATGTCAATATCCATCCCATGCCCTTCGCCCTTATGGAATAAGAGAAGCATCCTCGCGTTAATGCATCGTTTTTCAACGAGGAATCATTTCGCTATGTGGATGCCGTGTACGATCGGTCCATTATAACGCGAATGGCATGACACTTTTGTCTACCGAGCTGGAATACACCGAGTCGGCGCGATAACGCCATTACAAAGGTCACTGTCGTGACCCTCCTTCCTTTTCTCTGCTGACAACGAGAAGAGTGGGTGGCTGACTGGGGGTCAGGGGTTGCCTCACAATTTGCCGGCAACCACCCTCCACGTCTCGACGTCGCTCTCTTCCTATATTCATGAACTTGAACGTGACCGTTAGCGGCAAGTCATATCCGACTTGTATACGAGTGCGGAAGAAAGATTATCCGTCGCGACCAGAATCTCTCGCGATTCCGAGGAGAAACGTCAGCAAGGAAAAAAATTTTCTTGCTTTCAAAAGTTTAAATGTTTCTACATTTTTGGAACATGATATAAAATGTATTCTTAACTACACGATGCTAATTGGTTTTATTTATATCATAGCAAATGTATTTTAATTGTTTAAAAATAATATTTTGGCTGTTAATTGAAAAATGTTTTATTAAAAGTTTTTTTACGGTGTCTGGAAACAACATGCATGGTTTTCCTTATCGAAATAATATGTTTTTCTGTCAATTATTTGTACATAATTTAAAATACTGTCACCAAAAGCTTCACTGTAATGACAAAAATAAGGATTAAAAATTAAGGATATGTTAAAATGTGATATATACTTGTTACATTCATAGCGTAGCATAGCGTAGGTTTGGATCGATGATTGTCTAATTATGTCGCTATATATTTTTAAAAAAGAATGCTGAAAATATGCATCTCTGAGATAAATGAATCAAAATGAATTGAGCACATTGACTATCGCAAATACATAAGATATATATATAGTCTTCTTGCATTTTATTATTCTCTACATCTACATTAACTTCTAAACCAATACAGTTTGAAATGCGGAATTTTAGACGACATCAAGAAAATAAAATCGATAAAAAATGCACATATTGCTGATCCAATAAGGATCTATTTTTTATTATACGAGAATTCTGGATAATATCAACATCTATATTTTTCCAAGCATCTTATAAATAACGATGTTACATAAATACTCAGGTCACATGTGCTCGATATTGCCTGCGATATATTGTTAGAAAGATACAACGTTGCATATCTGAACAACTAATTTAAAATAATAAAAACTTTATTAGAAAATACTGAAAATGCATGTTGATGCGTGCGATTTTGTAAGTCATTAAACATACATAATCAACCGATTAAATATGTCCATCCAAGAATGCAAATTTTATTGGTTGCGACCATTATAATGCAATTATAATATGAGTACAATTACGTGCACGAATTGATACATTGATAATAAGACTGTGTTATCCGCGAGCAGTTGATTTATATAGAGAAATTTTTGTCCACGCCCGCATTAAACACACAATGTCAATCGATACGCATTTTAATTAACCAGAGCTTCACCTCACTCACCGCGACTGTAATACTTAACTAACTGCAATTTCCGAATTTATCAAATTTTCACGATTGTATTTTCATATAACATACATGCCTTCGATATTCAACTCTTGTTGCAACTCTTACAACGGAAAACCGTTCCGAAGTCTATCTGAGAAACGAGAAGTCTGTCTGAAAAGACGGAATTGTTCTTCCTGTTCAGAAATCGTGAGGGGGAACAACTGTGTCTTCGTCCTTGCTATTGACGCATCTCGGGATATATGGTAGAGTAACTTCGGATAAGACGGGGTTTCTCCTATAGCTTTCTATGTATGTACCTTATTGTAAGTTTAGAAGTTGAAACAACCTCTTGAGCTAAAGTGGATAGTAGCAGGTTTTTATCCAATTTCTTCGGAACTATAAAAACCGAATGTCACGAAAATTGTTGTCGTTATTTAGATACAGTTTAGTCATACACGCAAGTTTTTCTCCTTCGTATATTTAGCGTCATTATTTTTAATTACTCGCGACTACAAGATATTCGCATTAATTTTTACAATTGTAACAATTTTGCGCAATTAATCATCATCAAAAGTAGCATTTGCACTACAAGAAAGGTCAAATGAAAGCGACATAATCTGACTTAAGGCTGCAGGATACCCGCATTTTTGTCCTTCTCGCGGCTTAACCCCTTCCTACGTCATCCCCGACGGGATTAAAGATACCGAGAATGCGGAACCTCGACGGTGAAGGACACCGTGGGGCGTCAGAGGTTGAGAGAAGTTTAATCCCCCGGCTGTAATTACGCTGTATTCCGAGACTAAAAATATTTCAAACCCCGAAGGAGAAGGGATAAACGCGCGCGCGCGGTCAGGATGTAAGGGACAGTCAATTAAGCGCGACTTTGTAGCTTCGACTGAATTTCCCGCATAATTTCCACTCTCTCGGCGCTCGTCATTGTATGTATTGTCCATTTGTGAGAGAATCAAGCTCAGACGAGCATATAGAATCGAATTCATACTCGTTTTTTATTCTTCTGAATCCGATATAACTTGGAAAATTTAAACATGTAATGGTCTTAAAATTAGTAAGTTAACATATATAAAATTTACAAGAGCAAAATCATGGAACAAACTTTACAAATAATCCTTTTTACAATGTTGTTATCGTTATAAAAGACCAAATTAAAACTGAAATTAAATCAGTAACAGAGATTTCGCGTAGGAGCGATAATCATAGCGTATCTTTTTCACGTCTAGCCAGATTACGATCTCTCGATCGCAGAGAAATTTATTAATTTCTTTATTCAATAGCACATTGGCGGAAATACAATTAAAATGTAATTATTCAATGTGAAATGTCGGATTGCCCCGAATTATTGTTGCACTATTACATTTGCACGAATATTACGTCAGACAGCAAAGTTTCGTCGAGGGCTCATTAACTAAAACCAATTACTGAGACGGACAGATTTAATTTTCCGCGGACGGTAAAATTAATTCAATACCATTTTCATATTCCTCATGTATAGGATATTAGCACGATGAATTTCACACAAAAAAGATCAATTCAATCAATGGTAGACGATCATATATCGGGTAAAATAACACGTTAAAAGAAGCGTTGATGTAACGGAGAATTATTTCTTTTATTATGAAAGTAAAGAAATGTACATAAGTTGTATTATTACAAACGTGTTAAAATATTAAGAAATATTGTACATTTTCTTCCTTAGTCTTATAAAATTGTTAAAATATTATTAAACGTTATTATAGTAGTTATATATTAATAAATCATATATGATAATTATCACGATCTCTTCACATTATTTAAATCAGAAATTTTTATAAGATCAGGTTTTTAACAATTTAAATATTACGAGTTTTCTCAAGATTTTATAACTTATTAATTGTGCAAAATTTAAACTTTTCTCTCTCTCTCTTTTAAGGTAATATAATGTTTATAAATGCACAAAGAAAGAGAGACTTAATTAAATTAATACACGCTAATAGATATCTAACATATACGACGCGTTATAGAAAATTTGACAATATCATATGATTGTATCAAGGAATCAATTATGAATTTGATTCAATTATAAATTCAATAATTTTTGAATATTACACAGATATCATCATATAAAATATGTTTGTTCTCTTTGTTTCTCTTTGAGTATTATGGCTGCTAAATACTAAGATTTTGTCCTGCGATTTATTTTGTTCAATAGAATCAGTAATAATCGATCAAAGTTTAAAGGCGACTAAAACGGCAAAAAAGAAAGCCAAGCCAATAAAGAACAAATAAAGACAAAAACGAAACTTAAAAGTACCTAAGAAGTATCTTACAATAAATCGCGGTGGGGAAAAAAAGAATCTTTACCAATGCAAGTAAAAGAGAGGAGTAAATTGTTTCAGACACAGGAAATCGATGTATTGGTATTTTTTTTTGCACTTTAATATCTATTCAGAGCCTTTTTACAGACTTCCGTGAAAGTTGGCGATTGAAAGTTTAGTGAATACGAGCAAGTGAAAGGGAAATTTTTTTAATTACAAATTTTTTTTTGATAAGTATTCCATTAAAAAGAAATTAAACCATATTATTAATTATGTTGCAGAAAATTAAGCGAGCATTTCCAAAATTTCTAATTAGATAATGTTTTCTGTATATCTACACCATTATAAATAAGTCTCATGTAATCTTATTTTTATAATATTGTTATCCTATTAATTATTGATTGACATTTAATATTAATAACATTTATGAAAAAAAGTATAGTTGCGCTTTTTAATTATTATATTTTCGTTAATTTTTATTTATTAGAGCGAATAAACAGAATATCCAGTGTTGACCAACCATAATAACACGAAATACCAATAGAAACCGATGGCCGGTACCATGACGACACTTATCTCTTCTGGAACACTCTGCGACAAGTCTCTTCGAGGGTCACTCGATCGAAGGAAAGCTTCGTGCTGTCATTGTCCCTTTTCAAACTCACCACCACTTTACTATATGCAATAAAGCCGGTTATAAAGCAGGATATCGCAACAAAAAATCTCATTCATCCAAGTGACCGAAGGATAATTGAATTGAGTCTGCTTATCGTAAAAAAATTGAACGTTCTGAAAAGTGCCAGCTATGCGTTAAGAGATGAAAGGATAAGCAGCGCATCTATTGAAAAAAAATTATGAGAAATTAAATAAATTATAATAAGAGTATTAAGATACAAGTTAAAACAGAATGAGATTGCCAAGCAAAAAAGAGTGTAAAATATATGTAAAAATATGTAAATAAAAAACTCAAGAATATTTTTATACAAAATTTTATATATTATACTAACACGAAAATTAGTTCTTTATTATTATTTTGTTTTATACTCAAGCAGATATTTTATCATTTCATGTTATAGACGCGATATGGAGAACCGACCTTGACTGGATGGTGATACATCGCGATCGTCTGGTGCTCCTAAGCTTCATGAATCCGATCGGCAACTTAAGCACCCTGACAGGCCCGATAACTCCTCAGCCTTTCGTAACCCTAACCCCGGAAGAAGGCAATAACGAGAACATCGATGAACTCACTACCTCGACACCTGGTCTAACAAACATGGCACTTCCTGATGTTGTCGAGACTCGTGCTGAAGAAGCGACCACCATGTTCTCAGCTATTATCCATCCAATCATCACAGATCCACCTTCATCCCGAACTATCTCGAGCACCGGTACAACTTCCAGCAAGACAACTACGACGAGCACTGAAACGACTTCAACAACTTCGAGAACGACATTGCTGCCGAAGAATAGCACCGTAAGACGTCCAACCACGAGAACTATCACCAGAAACGGCAGTTTTAAAGGCAGATCGAAGGCGAAGAATCTCACGAGGATATCAACCACGGCGAAACCTTCTAGAACCGCCGGTTCGGGAAATATGACAGCACAGAGCATGTCGTTAACGATGAACAGTCTGGCGGATCTCGATCATCCCGAAAATTTGAATCTGGAACTTCAAACAGGTAAATCATTCATCGATCTACATATTCTATCGTAAATTGATCACTTTTTGTCCCTTTTGGAGATTATTTTGATGCGAAAAATATTTTCGAATCACAATAAAATTAATGAATATGTACGCATTGTAAAAACGGCAAAAATAATTATTGCATTTACGAAGGGAATGATAAAACATTTTATTCCATCAGTGGTCGTACAAAAAAAATCATGAAGCAATTAACAAAACAACGGAAATTGAAAAGAAGTGGTGCATATTTTTTTTTGTAATGGCTTATAAAATATTCACGCTGGAGTCACAGATTTGACTCTCTACACACCGTGTAATGGGAATAAATATCGCGAAAATATTCGCTTGGAAAAAATAGATTTATACACTTGGCATATTTCGTTTTTCAGCCGAATCATACGGCCCGATTACCCTGGAATATCTGAATTACGCCGCCGCGCTCGGCGTCTACTCGGTAAGATATCCCGCCGTCTTCTGGTCGTGCAACAAAGCATTGGGTACAATTTTCAGTCTGCAGCTGGTCGTGAATTCAGCGCAGAGTCTTCTGGCATATGCTGGAATGTCCGTCCTTTATAAGGTAAGCAACGCAAAGTATTCAATGCCAGTTAAAACTCGCAGGAAACTTCACTAATGTCTCAATCGGCCCCTTCTTCTCGCGTATACTACTACTCGCGCGAATACCAGGAAGCTTATAAGCTAAAACTCAGTAGAACGTTAAGAATTCCGAGAAACGTCGGGAATCTTTAGAAATATATTGCGCAACAAGATGTCTGCAACTTGTCTGAAAGACCTAAGAAATTGGCTAAAAATTACAAAGGAGAATTTAAAACTATCATCAAAATAGAAGCGTAATATAAAATACAGGTTTTAAATCGCGTACAATTTTGTTACTGTAACATGTAATTGCTTGAGAGAATATTCCCCCAATCTTATATCGAGAAAAGAGAAAAGAAAATATATTTGATTTAGATATTTATTTTCTCATATCTTGTGCTAACGATATCTTCAAAAAATGTATACGTGTTCTTAGGTTCAAGTGGTAGGTCCCTTAAAGGTCCTGCCATTCCTTCGGCATCGTACCGTAGCAACAATGAGTACAATCTCGACAATATTCGGAGACTCTTACTTCGTGCTGGATCCTCCGGTAACTCTCGTGCTCTTCGCCCTCTCATCCTTCCTCGTGCTCTGTTCCAGCATGGTCATGTATTTCTACGCCCACGGCAGGTAAATATTTAGCATGAGAGCTTATTCAATCCGCATCTCATCGATTAAACTCTGGCAGAGATTACCTGCCAAGCTCCTTCTTTTGCGAAGAAAATTATCTGGCCCATCCGCCGTTATCAGATAAAAGTAAATAAACGAATTCGTGCTCTTTACATTGTAGGAGAATTATCATACCAAGAACAGACGCTTATCAGTTAATTTCTTTTTTCGTGGAACATTTTTAACATTTTATTTTGAAATGTAAAGATATATTTTTATTACAGATAGATTTATTTATTACAGTTAGATTTATACTTCCCTTTTAAAAAATCCATGTGTTTTTTATCATTGAACGCAAAAACAACGTATTTTTATTGCGGAATTCAACGACCTCATAATTTTTGCTTTCCATTCGGATTTTATTTGACTTGCTAATTCGCTAATTTGAAGCAACACTTAAAGTACGCACAAAACAAGCGTGCCTTCCGATACTATTATTATTCAGTATAAAAGTCAATAGACTCTTCTCTTAATACTTTCCTTCCTTCTTTCTCGGTTTGCCGTAGCATACAACAAAGGATAGCAATTAACAATCTCGATGCCGCAGGGTATCTCTTTACCGGCTTTGTCTTTAAAAGAGAAAAAGTTTCAATTTAATTCAAAAAATAAAAAAATAAAAAAATAGAAAAGCGGAGGAGTTCGCGTTATATGAAGGGGTGGAAAGTATAATTATAAGTTATATCCAAGATATAAAAATTTAAAAAACGATCGATTTTGCCATCTTATATAATAGAAGACCGATTTTAATTATTTCCAAAATTTGTCGATCCATTAAAATTAGCCCGAGATTTCCAATGAGACGAATAGCTCCCTCGTTATTTCTTTTGCTTTGTGCAAGCCAATTATATAAATATATACGTTTATATAAATATAAACGGTGATAGTAAATACGAGTATAACTTTTGCATCGTACAATGATACGCAGGTTCACGGCGTTCCTAAACCAGGAACGCGAGCGTC